TTTTGCATGGGGCATCCTATGGCAAAGCAGAAACAGCCTTCCCCAACAATATTTCCAGAGAAACAGAGGCTTTTTCCTGACTATTTCTCTTAGAGCACAGGGTGCAAGCAGACCAACAAAAACAACGCTTCTTTCCTACAGGGATTAAAGAATAGTGCTAACTGGTAGCAAGGAATGAGGAACTCCTGTATTTGCCAATAGAGATGTGTAACAAGTAAACACCTTCTCCCTGCCTCAGAAGGACATGCACACTTCAATAACAAATATTTTATGCTGCCTACACCTTTACTTACCAGAAAAATTGTTAAGCATTACCTTAATATCACTTCAGCTAGAAACTGTAGTTACTGCATTGAACTGTGATGCTACATATTGTACAAACAACAGAAGAAAAAGGAGTAATGAAAATTCCAAACAAACCTGTAAGTATATCCATACAAAAGCTACATGTACACAGATAGTCAAGTACTTGGAATTCCAACACTGAAACGCCACTGATCAGCATGCTTGAATGTCTTAAACCAGAAGGCTTCCCTTCTGGGGGAAGCAGAGCAACATGAAATTGTTTAAAAATAGAGCCACAGACACTGTCCTGCTTTGAAGCCATGTATTTATCTCAATCATGAACTAAAAATGACCTTTTAAAGGGGAGTTAAGAAGGAATGAAAAAGAGATTTGCAAGTGGATACATGGAACCCAGTTTAGACACGATGAAAGAGGTCAGGGGTAGATAAATAGATGACATAGTAACAAAAAGTAATGGGCAAATACAAGAATGCTGTTATATTTGTTGAGGTCAGAGAGGACAGAGGGTGTAACAAAGATATACTGAAGGAGTAACACAAGAGTACAGAAATAAATCAGTTTTTGTGAACTCTTTCATTCTCCAAGAAAAAGCACATTTCCAACAATGATCTGTTTGATGGTTGAATGCCATTTATAAATAAAGAAAATTAAGAAAGCAGTGCAATTATAGTCAAATTTAAATCATGCTGGAGACACAAAATGTGAGGAGATAAAAAAAGTACACAAATTTAGAGATGGGTGGGTAGCCAAAGATGGTTTGTTTGTTATTTTTAGAAGGCAAACACCACAATACATATTTGACATCTAAACTGGAAATTACATTTTGGGAGAAGGAGGATCAGTACATTAAATGGTCAAAAAAGTTTGATCATTCTTACATAGAAACTCATTACGTTTAAAGCAGGTCTCATTGCAGGTATCAAATTCCAGCAATGATCTCTCATATATGGTATCAACCCATAATTAATACTTATGATGCAACTGGCAATGTTGCTTATCACCATCATATGGACACAGTTCATTTTATGGGCTCCAGCATCTATGTAATATTTATCTTCATCTACATAAATATTATCTTCATAATTTTCTATATAAATTAGACGCACCATTAAGACTTTAACTGATCACTACTTTAGTATATGCATATTTATATTCAATACGCTTTGAAATATTTTCATTCATATAAATTTAATTTGTATATTTAACCAAAACGCCAAAACAGACATCTGTGGGTAGATTTTTGGCAGGAAATAATTAGCTTGCAGGGTAACACATTAGAAATAAACACACATAGAGCCAAGCAAAGGTGAAGCTATCTTATTTAATAGCTTGCATTGAGGTGCATTTAAACCTAGTGTCTGCCATGAGGAAACTCAACACATCATCAAATGTGCCAGTGCATTCAACACATCATCAAATGTGCCACTGCATTATCAAAAATGGCCAACTAGATGAAGCCACAATTGAAAAATAACTACATTTATTATTCTTTCTATATAAAATTCTTTTCATTAATGCTCAGCAACACGCATTTGGCAGCTGAACTTTTTTTTTTTTTAAGCAGTAGTTAACAATGCAATTCACGAAACAAAGATAAGCTCAATGGTTTCCAGGAAACTGAAAGATGAAAGAATGCAGAGAGAGTCAGACATGATTTCAAATGAAGAACAAGTGAACTAAGGTCAAACTAAAACCTAAAAGAAATTCAGCGAGAAACCAGATACATTTCAGTTGGATTGAAATTTCACAATGCATTTCAACAATGCATACAATACATTCTTTGGTATATTAATTCACTGGGGACAATTTTTTTTCAAAATAAAGGAGGAACTCAGATTCCAAAGCCCTTAGTTTCATTAATTCAAGCAGAATACTTAGCAGATTTTCTGGGTTTATATTGCATGTAAAGTAGGTTAAAGTTTTATCTTCCAGCTTTGTTTTGTGAGTTCACCCCCAGACTTAGGCGAAACCATGAAGTCTTACAGCATACATGAGGTAAACTCTTGTGGAAGAATCCATAAATGTTATAATTTCAGAAGCAAGTACCTACTAAAGAGAAATATGATGAATGTATTCCTCCCCCTTGAAGAGATCAAAGTAAAACTACCATTACATGAATAAATTTGAATAATTCATTTTGCAGTAGTGAAGAAACACAGCATTCTACCATACACACAAAAAAATGCTACGTAAGTTACCTTTATACCTATAATGTAAGTTATTCCCCAATACACAGAGCTAAATTCTGCTTAGTTAAACTCTCCACAATTTCCACATAGGAAGCAAAAACAAAAACAAAAAAAATTTTGTGTGAGGGATTTTTTAAAGTACACTTAACATAAGTTCTCTCTCAGACATTAAATTTGTAAAATACTGTATTTTACATACTCAAACCCAGTATAACCATGCATTCAGAAACAGAATTCCAAACTGCTGACAAATCACCTTCTCTACTCGGAGCAGAGAATTTATTTATAATTTTACACAGTAAATTACAGTGACTTAGGAAAGAGTAAAGGAGAAATTGAAATGCAGTGCAAATTTTTAAAAAGTGGATTTTAAATAGACAATTTTAAAGAAAGCTAGAAGAATAACAATGTTAAAAGTTGTACAGCTGGACTCTTGCCAAAAGTGAGAGGCAACCTCTCACAACCTGTATTTTATAACGCAGGAATGACAACTTTTTTTACCAGTCAAAATATTCCCTAGAGCCATGCCTATGCATTCCTGCTCTGACATACAGTGAAGAGTGCCACCTATTGAATAAAAACCAGTATTTCCAGAAATCATTAAATTATTCTGGAAACATGCCATCTGTGTACTCCTTTCATCAACCCAAGCATTCAGTTTCGCTTTTCATCATGCAGTTTCCCAGTGGAGAGCAGTTTTGACAAAATATAACTTTGCTATAGAAACAAGGTACCACATCAACACTGCATAACTTATCTGATTAAAAAAAAAATTCAATTATGTGTACTGCATTTTAAAAAAAAAAGTCTCTTTTAAGGTTGTTCTTTGTTCACACAAAAAGTGTACATTATTTTTTTATATATTTTACTGTACTGTATTAGAAGGAAAAAACTTTCTTTCAGAGTTGAACACTTTATTTGCACTGACAACCAAAGTATCTTGCAAATGACCTAAAGTAAATATTTCATATCCATATACCATGATCTCAGTAATACTACAGAGCAACTACTAAGAAGACACAGTGTGCCCTCCTGAAGAAGCCTTAACAGGTGCTGCATAGCACACAGCAACATTAGTCTGGCCATGAGTTACACATTGGTACAGGTGACATTCTACACTTATAAACACTGTAAATTATCATTACAGTCTATCAATTTAGAGCTTTAAATACACACAATCTAGTCAAGGAAAAATGTGTGGTATGTTGCAAGAGTCTGCTGTAATATGATAGCAAACAGAACTGCTATAACCCAACCAAGACTTGGAACTGACCCATTTATATACAAAACATTTGAATGAGTCAGCAGCCCACTGCATTTCCCAGGCTGCTGTAGACTATCATATAATTCCCAGACGCACTTCCTCAGATTGTGCTTGCCTCATGAACAAGGTCAGTAGCGACAAAAAGAGATATAAAGGTCAATGGCTAGGAAAATATTACAATATACAGACTTATTTTATCTGTTTACCCATTAACCTATTCAATATACTGAAGTTCACAGAATTCCTCTATTTATTTGTCTCCCATCTTTTAACTGTTTAATATAATAGAGCAGTGTATTAAAACGAAGTTCTTCTATTGTTTTGGTCTGTGAACAGATAAGAACTAAATATGCTGCCTTACTGTAGTCATACACAGACAAGTGAACAGCCTCTAAAACAATCACTGTTTCCTTGTCTGAAGTCTTTGTTCCCATACTCCATATATACTCCAGCACTGCCAGAATAAACGTTGCTTATGTAGAGTGGCTGAAGTTTTTGCAATGATAGCAACAGTGCTATCAGTAATTGAGATTATACCACTGCAGTTATGCTGCTACCTGAATCACAAAGCTTTTGATCTGCGCTGGGGATCCCTTTCTGAGGGTGATAAAAGATAAGTGGAACAGTACTTGTCCTAACTCTGATTATTGCAGAGAGTAAACATACTGCTGAATAAAGACCTCCACAAGCCAAAAGTAAGGTAGATGGATTTTTGATCTGACACTACAAACTCACATATTTATGTTTTTATGACTACACGAAAAACACTAAAATCAGCTACACACAAGAAACAAATTTCTACAATGCACAACCACTAAAAAATACAATTTTTACTTCAATCTAGCGATAATAAAGAAAGATTACCACAATAACTTAATGTATACAACATTTCAATCAGACCTGGTCCTTCAAAGAACACTGAAGTATATGAGACATTAAAAAATTCTTTTAGGATATATTTATATATTACTGTTTATGCTATCCATCTCTGGGGAGGAAGAGAGGATAGTAGTATCTTTCACTTTGAAAGACACTACGTTAATGGTAAGCACACATTACAACTAAAAAATATATTTCCCAGATTAAAAAAAATTATTTGAAACTTTGCTTGCATATTTCTTTGGGGATTCCTCCAGAAATTTACATAAGGTTGCAATATTTGACTTTAAGACAGGTGGAATGATAAACTCAAAAGTTTTCAGACTGAGGGAAGAAAAATCCAACAAAAATAGGACCCTTACAAGATTTCTCTCTAGGGATTCCAGTTGGTGATCTATTTCTTTCAGACGATTCTGTTGATCACGTTTTTCCTTATTGTCCCGGAGAACCTTTTCACCTGGAACTGTTTCTAGGCTTCTGTTGGCATAAACCAGAGACTCCTGACAAAGGAATAGATAGAAGTTAAACACATGACTTTATACTGCTTCATAGCCAGATGGGTGTTGTTCTGATTTCTATTAGGAAACACCAAAATCTGTCAATGTCAAATTCTGCAAATGCTTAGTTTTCATTACGCACATTTTCAAATACAATAGCTAAACATCAGGCTAGATGTATTAGAGTAAAAGAATTCTTCCCCTTTGCATTTTAAGAGGAATTCTGTAGTCTCCAGAGCTAATACTTTGATGCTTAATTTCTACCACAACAATAAAAATGCAGAGACCGGGGGAGATAAAATGACTGGTTCAAATCTTGCTGTTATTAACCATACTGGGATCAGAATTAAGTCAGAAAGGAAAGGAAGAATTGAGCTGAAATGACAGTAGCTTTTGTTTATTAGATACCATGGTAAATGAGAAATAACCCTCTCTCAGTAAGTTGTAGTTAGTTGCCCAACCATTATTAAGGATTCAGGTTACACACTCTCACATCCTTCAGTAGTTTTGAATTGGATCCTGAAGTCCCAAACACATTCAAGGTTCACTATTACATGTAACTCGGTTCATTAAGAACGACAAGTATTGACAGAACTGCAGTTATGCTGTGATTGGAAAAACAGAGCTTTCTCTTGCAAACCAAAGATTCTGTAGAAGAATTCAAGGGATCCAAACAACAGCAGAGGAGAAAAAAAAACTAGCAAAAAACCCTCCCCCCACCTTGATAGCCAATTCAATCCAAAGAACAATCAGCAGCCATATAATAAAAACATAATCTACCCATTCTTATTTTCAGAAGTAGCTCATGGAAGCTTAATAGACATACACAAGGAAAATAATTCCAAGTAGCACGTTTAATTGGAAAGAAAACAACCCTCCCAATTCAACATTCAACACAAAATTTCTCAACTACAATATACAAAAAACCCATATCTGTAAACAACTTCTAAACATCAAGCAAATCTACGAGTTCTGGCATTTAAATCAAACTATTAGTTGCTTGAAAATAACACAATACAAATCTTATTTACAATCAGCAATAGTTGGCAGTACTCCAATGACTGAAAATTTTCCCATAACAGAGAGTCACATTTTCTGTTTCATTCTGTATTGTTTTCATAAATATTCCTAACAACCTATTTGAATATTTGACCACTATGGAACATCAAGTTGCAGTTTCACAGAGGTAGTTGTTACAGTTTCATTTCTCTCATCCCTGAATAGTAACAGATCAGAATTCACACAACATGAGTAAAGTTAAGGCTTTTCTCACATAGTAATATTTTTGGTTTTTTCTCAAGATACCATAAAATAAATTTAGAAAGTATTATATCAATGTAAACATTTTATTGTGAATCTTTCAGATACTTCAAATACTTCAATACTTCATTACTTTATGTTTCAATTATATAGCAAGTGTATATAGTGAAAGTCCATTTGAGATTACCTCATATGATTTTTAGATCTGTAGAAAATAAAACTGTTAAATATGTTTACACAAGATAAAACACAAGTCCTTAGCAACAAAGCTGTAACAACGCAAAAGAGTATTTGAAATGTCTAAAATTACTCATTGCATTCCCTTTTCTCCAAAATTCTATAAATAAATAATAACAAAATCCCACTTAATGAAATATATTAGTGTCATACAATCTTCCTGAGACATAAAACTGGCTGATCAGCTTATCAACCTGCTTCTAACCATGCCCTGAAACAGATACATCCGTGAAAATCATTTGCTTTGGTAAAGTGCAGGCAAAGGGTATAGGCTATCAAAGAGTTCAATAATTGAAAAATTAGTGCATCTTCTGAAGTTTTTAATGCTTTAGAGTACTTATTTAAACTGTTAACTATAGCCTATTTCCATAATTGAAAAAGGGAATATTTTTCGGATAAAAAATCCCAAACACGGATGAAAGAACTCAAGGTAATACTACATTGATTCCCTTATCTTTTAAGACAACCAAGCAAACAGAAATTATTGTTTCTTTAACAATTAATGCCATTTATTAAAGATTTCAGAGTCACAGCACAATTCCTATATCCTGTCAAAGCATCCATCAGTGTCAGAAAGCAGATCTCTCACTGAGGCAGTGGGGATTGTTTCCATTTTGAAAGCTGTATCTAGTGCAACTCTTGGAAGAAAAGAACGTGCAGCTTTATAATACGCAACTCTAAGCTAGTCTGTTTTAATTACTTCTAAAATTCAAAATGAAAATCCCTTTTATATACTGCAAAACAAAGTTGAAGGGCAATTGCTTTTCACAAATGAAAGGTAACTTAAGGAATTAATTACCTCTTTTTGGTTGTTAGGTTTAGTATTATTAAAAAAAAAATACTGTTCAATCAGCATACACCTAAATGCCAGTTTCTGTTTAAATATTTCTGAGCTGTTACCTGAAAGGAAACAACAATAACCACTTGAACAAACAGTCCCAAACAGTGAGTTCATTATCACAGGCAGCTGCATTAACTTCAGGCTGATGTCTCGTAACATTGAACACAATTGTGTTCAGGCAATCATTGGCATGCTCAGTTAGTTACTGAAGTTACTGGGTAACAACTGCATTTGGGTTAGACACTACCAACTAGAGGGAGGTGCTCTTTCACACATTAAATCCCAGCTGGTAAATGATCAACATCAAAATGTGACTCCTCTGGAACTGAGCTACAGAAAATACCACTAGAGGTAAAACAAAACCTCACATTCAGAAAGAAGTCAATACAAACATTATTTTGAAGTGACCTTAGAAAAAGAGGGGGAAAAAAACCACAGGTATTTTAGCCTTTTGAATAAATGTTTCTCATACACTTGTAACTGCCTCTGATATACCAGTTCTGGCCATAGAATGTAAATAATAAAGAAATAAACAAGCTTTGTGCAAAATAAGAATTAAGTTTTTTTATTTTATACCCCATCATAGTAGAGGTAACACTACTGGGGTATGGGATAGACTGGAGTCTTCTAAGTACAAAATTCAAACAATCACTTCTCAATGCTGAGACCTTGATTCTTAATCTTCATGGGTTCTTAATATTGCTGCCAAGGGAAAAAGACGAAGACCACTAAAAACAAGGGGCATACGATTCCAATCTATTTTCTACAGTCATTGCTTTATCTTTATGATCGTAAGTGAAGAGGCACTTTTAGAATCCTGAGATAAGAAGAAACCTAATTCTTATTCCCAAAGATGAACTGAGATGAACAAAGATGAGCCACTGAGACCCTCATGCAGCTAAAAATGTCTGTTAGCAATTCCTGAACATGAAATTTCTTAGAAGTGTGGAATCAACAAATGCTAAAAACAAGACAGTCCTTGAATTATATACCACTCAAAACAGCAACAAATTATTTTTCCACTGTTTTTCCACAGCCAAAATTTTTCACTTCATTCCTTAACACATATACTGGAAGTAGAAATGGAAGATACTAAAGAAAAATGCCAAAGATACAAATACAGACAGACACTTGGTGTATTGATCTCAACACATACTTAAAAAAAATCTGCAGCATAAGCTCTGCTCTGCAACCTACCTGATAAATCTGGCTTGGAGCTTTTGAGTAAGAGCTGGAAATTGCAGAAAAATCCCCATCAGATAGTAGTGCTTGAAGCTTAATGTCTATTTCATTTAGGAGATGAAATTCTGTCGGTTCAGGTGTGTACCCTTCTCCTGGGGCTAGCCAGACAGATACATCCTCCTATTGAAAAGTACAGAAAATACTTAAACCTCATACCCAAAGGAAAAAGACCTTAAAGGCAGTTAGTTGCACATCAAGTGTGTTTATTTTTCAAATGAACATATTTAAGAGTAAAATGTACATTTTCACCCGTCTCAGTATATATCTGAAATCTCCCAAATATTCATGTACCTAGCACATTCAAAAGCAAATATGGACAGAACAAGTATAGGCATACATTTTTCATTTTAAAAAATAACCAAGCACCAACTTAATTGGACATAAATAATATATATATATAATTTTATTTTTATAAAGCACATACATTCACATGCATTGCTGTACTAACCTAAACAGATTTTTGCTACTATTATACTTATTTCTATCAAAGTCCAAAGCCTGTGTCCCCAACAGACTAGCTGCTCAGAAGCCCTAAAACAAAATTGCTTAAAGCCAAATGCTTTGCCTTCATACCAGCTGGCCAAAGAGCAATCAGACAGCTCCCAGGTTCCCCTTCCGTTCTTCTCAAGGTTATACAACTACCTTGATCAAGTTCTCCTACACTCAAAAGAAGCTCTTTGGATAGCCAACCCCTTTTTCTTAACCATACATCTCACTTAATAGCCTCTTAGCCTAGTTAGTCAAACCTTTAAAACAGTTTCATGCCATGCAATGCCAATCTCAGCTCCCTTCCACAGAGGCAAACTGTTGTGGTTTATGTATTTGTTCAACATGGCAGAATCAGCTCCCTTTTGAAGGAATAATTGCTTGTTATGGCCTAACTTGCATGAACATCTTGCTGTTCAGTGCTGCACAGTAAGCGTCACTTTCTGATGCCACTGACATGAAAATCAATTTAGAAGTGTTTGCAAGATACTGCAGAGGACAGAGACAAAGAAAAGTGTCCAGAAGATGTAAGACCCACCAGTCTTAAAAGAGTAAACACAAAGAACATGCTATAAGCTCACATTTTCAATGCTAATATTGAAGTGGAAAAGCACAGCCTTCAGAAACTGCTCTAGGAGCTTTCTCAACATCATCGTAAATCACTTCTGTTGTCAAGCATTTCAGCACTCCTTGCTTGCATGCCTATTCTTTTACAAACTAAGTACAAGGAACAGTACAGAGAGCCAACCATATAACTGAAACAGGAAGGTATTTTTTGTTTTTAAAAAAGACAAATGAAAGTCCACAGGCATAATGAGATGTTCTTATCTACACCAAACACATCTTCTTGAAAAATCCCAATAAACTTGCATCTCAAAGTCTGGTGGCAAATGCAGAGACACATCTATTCTGCTACATATTCAAATACACCTGCACAGCAGCACTTTAGAAGTCCAAATAAAGTGGAACATAATACCCCACTATTGTCCTCTGAAGGAAGTGGAAGCAACAGATCCCTGTGCAAGTCAAAGAAGGAAATAAAATCAGCAGCTATGTCTAATAGGCAAACTACTTTCCATCTGATAAAGGAGTCAAAAAGAGAGAAAGCCTGACCAAAACTAGTCTTGGAATGGAACTGCAGAGGTGGATGCTATGGCAGAAACCACCCAAAGCCAAATTTCAGGGGGAGGGTATGAGATGTAATGTGACACTTGCAGCATATCACCAAAGAAGGAAACACAGCATCCATAGGAAATCAAAGGAACTGCTCTGAGGTGAGTAGCTGCCATCCTTCTAGAGGCCCAGAAAGACTGGGAGAGGCAGAAAGCAGAGAATTCTTGTTCCCGAACGCAGTTTACATGACTTTTTCCTCTTGATAGCAGTAACATCTGAATAAAAAATATGAATATATAACCCTACTACAGACAGTTGCATAATGTGTGTGAGCTTGGCCCACTTGACCCAAGCAAATGAGCTCATATTCACAGATGGATACAGGTTCTCCACAGTAACTTGGCACTCCTGCCTCAACACTCAGGGAAGGAAGCATGCACAACCACCATTCACTGGGCATGACAGTAGCAGATTACATCTCTGCCCTGACCACAGTGAAACAGCAGATAGGACCTTAGAAGAGCAGGGATGTGGGGAAGGACATGAGTGTATTGCTGGTTTCCTTTCTTTTTCCTACCCAGAATAAGGGAAGCACCTAAGACTCTAACATCTGTTTTGCAAGGAATTCATGTCCACTATTCCGTTACAGCTTCCAGATTAGTCCTTTGGCCATTCAAGCAGTTGCATCCATACAAGAGGAGGAAATATCAGCTTCCAATAACAATACCACTGCTATGAGGTCACTTGTGGTTCATTCCCATTACCCTAAAGCATACTAGTTTCAAAAAGAAAAAGGCATACTCCAAACACCTGTCATAAATTGCCTCCATAATAAATTGAAAAAAATAAATAGTCAAGAGAGAGGCATGCTTTTTGAGAAACAAAATCAGTTCTAATATTTTCTCATACAAATATGATGAGACACAATCAGTAAGCCTGACCAGACCCAACCTGATTCCAAAACAGCCACTCAGAAATGTCTTAGACGCTTCCCAGCTTTCTGGAAACATCTGTTCAGGTGGAACAGTGACCATCAAAACATAACTATCCAGCATGGTTCTACATTTGTGTCACATTAACCACCCCCTAATTCAGAGAATGAAGATCACAGCGCAAAAATACAGAAATTACTCTACAGGAGTCCATTAAGATGCAACTGGACTCATTAGCTACAGCTCAGTGCCTATATTCCATGCTCCAAATATCCAAATTACTCCAGTAGTCACTTTAGGGTGAAATGGACTCACACATTCTCTTTTGTATTTTTAAGATGGCTTTGCTTGGAAAATAAGCTTCTGTCCTGTCAGTGTTTCCTGTGTGTTAACTCAGAACAATACTTTTATAACAGCACAGTCAGTGCTTACTGTGGAACATCTGAAACAAATTATATCCCTGCAGCTTCAGCTTTGACAATTAGATTAGCATGAATATGTACTTGTAAAATATTTTAAAAACTCATAAAACACCTTTTCAAAAAGTGAGAAGTGCTGTTTGGATATCTGACATATTTAGTAGCATGAGTCACATCTGCCTTGACTGAGAGCCTCCAAAACATTACTTTAGCCTATGTGATTGCACCAGCTTTTTAGAAGTCAGAATAAAATAAGATGAAAAAGACCATCAGCTGGACAATTACCTGGGCCAGCTTGAAGCTGTCTAGATTACTCACTATCTGATAATTTCCTCATGATCTTTGTTACAAAGCAGCCACAGGAAATGCCTCACCCATAATAAAACTGAAATGTGGGAGAGGAAGAATCACCAGACTAGACAGGTTTAAGTAACTATTATCCTTTCTTTTATTCCACTTTGATAGTAGAGTCAGGAGCATTTTTCTTTGAAGAGATAATCTAGTATAGACTAGAGTGACCCAAAAATTACCATTCTTGTCCATGGAATAAAGAACTTACAGCAACAACACACGTCCTATGAGGCAATTTAGTTAATAGCAGATATTAATAGTAAAATCTCTTAGATACATGCCAACATGATAGTGACATGTGCCAAATACAAAATGTGGGTAAAGGTTACACTTTCCCTTGCCTTGATGCTTTGAGAATTGGTCCAAAAAAAGGTACACATTGTTAGTCAGAATTTGCATTAGCTGTTCTGCATAAACATCTCTGAATTTTGTGAAGGATACCAGCTTAAAGAAAAAGAAAATTTAGTAACCACACATTTTGAGAGAATACTTTCACAATCAGAAAAATATTATACAAAAAAGGCCAGAATTCCCTAGGTCAGAAAACTATGTTTACTAACAGAAGGCTGCTTAAAACATCTTCCAATTTTTAAATGCTGACGTTTATCAAATGGAGAACCATCTCCTCAAATTGAAACATGTCCTTGAACAGGAAAGAACAGAACAGACAGCATCATTAATCAAACACTGACCTTTCCAACATGAGGAGAATAACAGAAACAAACCCCCCACAATCCTCTCCCTCTGGTTTCTTCCTATTCCAAGTCAGGATGAAGTACTGTTTCAGCTGAACATTTTGCCACCCTTACATGGGTTTGCAATGCCAAGCCTGTTGCAAGCAGATCCAATAGAATACCTTCAATCTTTTCATAAATGCACAGATAAAGATTAAATAATGATCCAGTGAGCTCTAATTTTGTTCTCCTAATATGCAACAAATTAAAAGTACAATAAAAATCAACTCCCTAACCACAGATCAACATTAGACCAAAGAATTTCCACTGCATTTTTTTAATGCTAAACCAGGTCAGCTAAGTCAAACACCTCTGTGTAACATTATTAATTGATGAATATTTTACACAAACAAAAAATTCAATCTGCAAGCTCAGTGTTCATGTTCAAAAGAATTATATTAGCATCCTATGTTAAGTGAGGGAACAAATGTCAGGTAAACAGGAAGACTGCTGCAATTTTACAGAACTTGAAGATTTTCATCTGATGAACACAAGCACTGAGTGTGGCTGATAGTTTTAAACCTTTGCACATGAACAACCAACAATCAGCAAAGCATACATTATCTGTGCTTCTACTTTATCTTACCGTGAAAGAACAATTACTGTTAAAATACTGTACATTTATATAATCTTAGTCATTTGTTCATCAGGTTTTCCTGACTGATACCGATTCCTTCACATATAGCCCCACAAAGCTCTGAAAATACCAAAACACAGTGTGTATTTACTAGTTTCCCTAGAGCAAAAAGAAGTTTTGAACCATAGACCCAGTGACTGTCAACCTAGAAATCACACTGAAGTTGGATAAATTACAGATCTGTTTAATGTCACAAACCACGGGCAGGCTAGTCCTCTGTTTCCACAACCAGTTTAGATTCAGATGGAGAAAACAATAAGCTCATCTCCTTACCCCATATCCTGAAAGAGTAATTTATAAAGAGTAATGAAGAGCATCACCTCTTGGATGTCTTCACAACATTATTAGAAAATAAACAGAACTAAAATATGGGAAGAAACAATTAAAAAATAATACCATTGCATTTGCTTTTGTTTCTCTCACACCTAAGTTGTTACTTAACCTACTGAAAATTAATTTACTCCAGATCATTTTTAGCTGTATAAATTAAACAGAAAGTGGACCTTGGATATATTTTGTTCACTCTATGCAGAGTTCACATCTTTCTTTTTAGATACTGTTATTCAATGTATACTTACAAATGTAGCAGAAGTTCAAATGTAGAGAAGAAGTTCATAACACTACTGTAGATTTAACTTAATGTAATTTTTAATGTAAAGCAAATTAGAAAAGCCACCTAATTTCTTTACACAAAGTATTTTTCCAACATTTCTTTTTATTTATTAAAATCCAAGTTTCTTGAAAAGTTATATCAAGTTTGTATTGTTTGAGGATATTCATTCTATAAAACCCTGTATCTTTAGCATATTTGATACCATATATAGTTGAAAAGTACTCTAAGTTCCTAGTATGATTCATTTTTCAAATGAAATTTTATCTTTCCATCCTAGCAGCTTTTGTAAAACAACAGAGCCTCTAAGAACATCTTCACTGTGATATTCCCCTCAAAGCAGTAAGAAATAAAAGCCATCTCCAAGTAGCTGGGAGATCAAAAGATTATTTGATGCCTTCACATTACTTGGAAAAATTTTGTTGCTCAGACCCTCCTAGAAGCAGTGATCAGTGGGACAATCAAATACCCTTTTTTACTATCTGTGAGAAAAGGTATTTTTACCTACTTCAGCTGCTCCTCCACTACCCACACTCTACACTCTTTAACAATATTGTACTAAAGCATAAATGTCTAATACTTAAGCAGACTTTGTCCACTCTGTATACTTTTAAGACAGAGTGACTTGGAAGCCACAGAAAGATGTCATGCTACCTTTCTAAATGGACGTATAAGCTTCATCAAAGTATACTTCCTCAATTGCTGCATTTTTAAGGTCATGTCCTTAAAAAACTCTTGTTGGGAGTGTTCTTAAAAAAGCTGCTGGCCCTTCTGCCTGAGACTACAGCATCAGCCATTCAGACTGATACTCTGTAACTTCAGTTTATGCAGAATAAATAGGTCATCTACTCCAAGTGTAGCTCTAAGGCTCCTTCCACCTGTGCCTAACTTTGAAGTTCTGCAGTTAGCAGAATTAACAAAGAAATCGATGCAAATTCATTCCTGGAGACAAATGCAAAAGGATTTGCCCCCAGCTTTTCTCTCCTATCTCAGTAGGGTACTCCATGGTAGGACTAAGATCAGTTTTGGATTTACTGTAAAAATAAGCTAAATAAACAGGACAGAATAAAGTTTTCATACCTCAAGACCTTGCAATTCAATTCCATCTTCTGTATCTTTCAACAGTTCAGTTAGCCTTTTCCTTTCTCCTTCAAGCATAACAAACTGGTTTCCTGAATCCTTTGCTAGCTGAAATATTTACAAAAAGGAAAAAATTAAACACACTTCAGAACTCCACTAGCTCAAACAACACTAAAACAAAGTTTTTAAACTCTCTGAAATTAACATCCAAAACTTGCTTATTGCCATAATACCACTGACAGAAAAATATAGCAGTCTACATATAATAAATTTATAATCTTGTAATAGTCTTTGACATAGCAGGGAGGCAAATATTTTTCATTGGATGAGGAATCATTACAGGTAATATGTCTTCAAAGGAAAAAAAAGCACAAAACTTGGGGACGCATTTTCTGAAAAAAGAGATCCCATGCAGGCTATACATGAGCACCCTGTATATTTATCCCTTATCTATGCATAAGGACATCTTCCTTTAACTTAACAGGAAATATAAGTCTTATTTGTCCTTAAAGTAAGCTGTGTTCAGGCACAAACAGAACAATTCAGTTGCCAGTACTCTTTAGCAAAGATATAGAAGTAGTAACACCCTTACCAACATGAGCATCCAAGATGAGAATTACCTTATATAGTACTCTGCCATAAATAACAGTTCTAAGAAAAAGGGTGGGTTTTTAAAATTTATTTCTAATTAGCTTTTAATGTTCCTGATTTAAAAACACTGTCTCCAGAAGTACTTATGACTAATTTTTAGCTAACATTTAACAAAATGTTAATGATTTGACACTTTAATGCTTACCTCAATGTTCTTTTTAATGAAATCCTGGTTGCTTTTATTTTTGCTATGTGTTTTCTCCACTGTTTTTTCTAATTCTGTTTCTAATTCACTTGGATAATCTGAAGTTTGAGGAAGAAACGTTTCTAAGTTATAATCATTCCTATTCTGGTTCAGTAAGAGCAATCCCATTTAAATCTTTAGCAAACACACAAAGTCTATAGACAAAGCTTTTATATGGTGTTTTCATTATTTATGTAAACACTATGGTTATATTTAAAACATAGCTATTGTCAAAATCTATTTTCATTTTTAACTTTTTATTATATGAGATCATTCAATGTTATAAAGGCTAAAATACTTCTGGATTTCTGACCTCAAAAATGTTAAACATGGCAGCCTTAAAAGCCACGGCATTCCTTCAAACCCTATCATCATGGCAGTTTTCTCATCAGGAAAAAAACAGACAATAATTTTTTGAAAACCACAGAACTATTTGGAGACATATCAAGTACATTTTTCTAAATAAAACAGCTGAAAAACAGATGATATAGTTGATATTATTATAACAGCTTATAAAACAAATTTTGTTAAAAAATAAAACTCATCATAGAGCTGTAAATCCATTAAACAGACACATGATATTCTAATAACAATGGGTTTCTATCCATCACAAAAAAAGTGGGCAAGTATTATGTTTTTCAGAAACTTTTAAGAGGCTTAAAATAACAATTCCTTTATGAACAGCAAATATTTATCACATTAAATAACAAGCCTAAGCAAATATAACCAACTTCTAAATCTCAAGAACTACTTTAAAAGTAGTCATGGTACTTTTTGCTTTTCTGGAAAGTAGAGATTTGAAAAATGGGTGGGCTCTTTGCCTTCAAAATTTGACAAATTAGATAACAGAAGACAGGCTATGGAAGTTGACATGGAAGTAGCTTTTTTTCCACAGTGAATAGGTTGAAAGCAAACTCCCAAAGATATGAAATAAATTCTATGCATCCTTTTGCACAAAAACTTTAAAGGACTGAAGTCTTAGATCTGACCAAGAAAACCCATCGCAGTTCAAATGCACAACTGTTTACTGAAAGCATCCCAAACTTTAACATTACCAGGCAACACCTGGAATCTGTCAAGGAACTGGATGATATAAGAACTTACCAATCTACGTAAACAAGAGATGTCACATTCTGAAATAAGCAGAACACACCAAACACCAACAACACACAAGATATACATTACTTTTAAACTACATCCTTCTCTTACTGTAGAATAGCGTTTTTGAGAGGGAACTACATACAGAACATCTCAGAACATTCAAGTAAAGAACGGACAGACATGGATCACTGAGACAAAGACAACACTGAAGATTGACATGGGTAAGTAAAAGAGAGATTGCAGCTCAACAAATTTTGCATATGAGTTTTGCTAGACTTGGTACAAATTTCAAAGATTTGTACAAATCTCAATGAGACTGATGAAGCAATAGCATAAAATTAATGCATGCATTCTTCTTTCCAAATTAAGCTACTCTTGTTGAGAGTCAGCCTTTATGACAGCTGTGACACAGAAATCCAAAAGCAACCAAAACAGCAAGTCTTAGCTATTCAGACACCACATCATGAGCCCCCAGAAGAAACAGTAAGTCATTTAAGCAATGTATTGCCCACAAGCTGTAAGAGATCTCTACTTCACACATTCCCAAATTAGGAGCACGTAGAACATCTCAAAATAGAGCAAGTGATTGCAATTCCCAACACCCTGTGTACTGGAAGCTTCAGAAGTCACTGCTGTCCTCAATATTGGCAATGAAACCTATGTTGCTATTCAATGGCACTCCAGCACAACTCAGAAATTTTGAAGGTAAAAGCTGAGGGTCAAGATTCATTTTAAGGGAAAAATGAAGACACATGATAGGAAGAGAGAGAAATGAAAAGCACAGCACTGCTCAAGCCCACTAAGTTAAGGTTGCATACTGGTGGACTAAGTGATAAAATGAGGTCCACGTTCAGAAATTAAAACATGCAGTCACATTCTACAAACTGCAGAGATTCTGATGCCATCAATGGTTCAGCCTTGAGGAACACATGTTTATTATGTCCTTGTCGTCTTAGACAGTCACCAGGAAGATAGATTCCTTCTGTTTACATAGAATGGTAGGCGACAAAGAAATAAACAATTGCAAGTGATAGCGATGGCAGCCAAAGCTATTTTTCATGTCACAGCACATATAAAAAGTTAATCAACCACGCAAATTTGAATTTCAAATAGGGGAACAACAGAGGCACAAAGGCACAAAGGCGCAATTGCATTTATTTTGAAGTGTGGGACACACTACACTACTACCAGCATTTTAAATGTCTATACAGCTCACGTTAACAAGTGATCTCTAAAAGAATCAGCAGGTGTTTGATTTTTGCCAGACAGTACTTCATCCATAAAAGCAATGCAGACTTAACAATAATCAGCATGACAAAACATAAAATAAGTTGTCTGAAGATTTACATTTGTCACAAATATACAGCACCACTCATCATTTTTAGGTGGTTTCTTGAATATGAGCCTACTAATTAAAGTTATGATACTTTAGAGTAACAGTAAAGACCATTTTTAAAGAATTTCCATGAAGAACCATTTTAGAATATATCAGTTACACACCTTTTCATTTCGAAATGAAAGGTAAATGGTTTTACAAACCCCAAAGTAAAAATTTTCTTAGCATGTTGAGTAAAATGTTTTAGGTAAGTCACAAAACTATTCTCTTTTATCATTTGCAAAAAAAGTAAGAACTGTTGCCGTTCCAGTAAGCAACCTTGCTTTTTCCCATTTCACTGGCCTATCCACAAAGACCAAGTCTTCATTGCCCACCCATTGCACATGTTGTTTTGTCGTATCCAAAAATACAAACTATACAATTAATAAAGCTTACCCTTGCTTTTTTGGGCTTTATGACAATCACAATCTTCTGGATTCACTTGTGTGTGAATTACTGAAGTACATATTTCATTTTCTTTAGTATGGGAGGGATCTGCAAGGAATTTTTTCAGTAAAATTTAATTGAAGTGTAGTCAAAGAAGATCTAGATTCATATGTATCATACTACAAGATCTCACACACGAAAGTTAAAGAAATTCACTTGGATAAATTACATAAACACCATACTTCTCAAGAAATAAAGAAGGGGGAAAGTGTAAGATGTGACTCATGAATAAGTATGCTGTTTCATATGGCTGTGTTTTTGTTTTTAACAACTACTGCCCATAAAGGACAATCACATTCTCAAAGACACAGCCCAAGGTGCTAAAGTTCAAATGCCTCTGCAGACACCATGTGGCAAATCATCTAGAAATTTGAATGAAAATAAAGTATCCAGGTTTTCACAGCTGGTGTCTGCCTGTGCATGAATTATTAGACTTCCAAGTGGCTGAGGTCAAGGTTACAGCCTAGAAAAACAGCATCCTACTTGTTTCAGTCACACAAAGAAAAGAAATCAGTCACAGTATTGACATGTATCAATTAAAAATATAGTAGTAATTTGCAGTCTATACACCCACCACTTACAGAAAACAACTCATATTGCAAAGAAGCACATGAATTACGTGTTTTTCACAAGGAAAAAACCCAAACAATATTCAGTATTAGGAAGTGCCATGGACTCAAAAGTATGATTTTGATACACAGACCAAAGGGTAATGAATTTAAGGCCATTTAATTAACTTCTGATTTACATTCCTGCTGTGCGTGTGCCAGAGGGTTTAGTTGTGCCTGACAGGCTGGGACACTTGTGTTTGATTTCACAGCCATATTAAAAGCTATCATTAAATAGCTCCCCATATAATTTATTTAATAAAGCTCTATCAAATTCACGTTCTGAAAAGCAAAATATGTAAACTGCATCCCATTTCAATATCAATAAAGGCAGCTATGAGGGCACTCATTTAAATAAATAAATAAATAAATAGATAGATAGATAAATAAATAAATAAATAAGACCTTAAAACTAAGGCACAAGTACATTACGAAAAGTTAAGATAAAGGTCAAACTAGAGGAAAAATATAAATCTAAACTATGCAGAGTTTTGTCAGTAAAGTATACCACAAACCATATGATGCAGGACTCACCGCTGAAAGAAAGGAGATTTGTTAGCAGTCTTGCTTGTCTACTGTTTTTTTAACATATCCTGACATCTACTGGAGAGTTTCTAAATATCACCTGTATCAAATTCAGTTTTGTTCCCTTAATAACCCAAACATTAGCATAGAAATAAAAGCACGTTACTTGAAATAGTAGGTTTTGTTTTAATGTTTTAACTACACATTGCTACCATTATTATGCATGGACGTCCAACATTCAAGCCAAGATTTCTGGTCATTTATAACCATTCAAACGTCAAATCTTTGTTCTCTTCCCAACAAGGAAAAAGGGAGGATAACCCAAAATTCTGTTTCCTTTCACTCAAGAAACCCTTTCACCAAGGGTATACAAAGGATGGGGATGCAAAATGTGCATATGATTGACATATCCCTGAGACCTCCAGCACCCACACAGATTATTCAAACAGCAATTTTTTAACAACCATTCTCAAGAAGATTTGACATGGTATATTCTTAACAAATTCAGTCTGGTTTTGTTCTCCCTCCCCCTGCAAAAAATCATGTGTGTTTGCCAACAACTTGAAAAATGCAGTCTTTACTTTTCCTGGACTTCTACCCTTCTAGAATATCCAGTTTGTTGAAAAAAATGCAGTTCCTATAAGCAAAATTAACGGTAAAGTACAATGTCTACATTTGTGCTAACGTAAAAATTATGTCAGTTGATTTTTCAAATATTCCATTTATACACTTTTTCATGCAAATATTATTCTACTGTAAAGGTTTGAAATATTTACTTTTATCATATCCAACAAAAATATGAATATTAATCAAAATATAGGATAACTATACCAGGGTATTTATTTGTTTTCACTTACCAGCTGTATCCTGCCATGATGAGAACAAAGCTAAAAAAATGTTTGTATTTTCTATCTCCTCATGGCCTCCTGTGGTTCTGATAGACTATTCAAAAGGAATAAAGTGTAAATATACAGATACATGCATGTACTAAGAGTAAACTCTTCAAAGTGAAACACGTTTGCTTATCAAATCCAATGAACTTCAGACCCTATTAAAAATTCCTTGTTCAGTGACAACATTTACTTACCACTTTATTTTCTTCTTGAGGTTATTTGAACACCTGAATTTATGATAAAGCATGGTAGAACTTTAAAGCCTCTGTTACATATTGTCTCTTACTTGGAGACACATTTCACAAGACAAAGAAGTTCTATAACCTATATGTGGCCCCAAATCCAAATCCAATGAGATTATGAGATGCAGTCAAACCAGTCACGTCTTGTTAGCAACATACATTTGTATTCATGTAAAATATACAATATTTAACCTTAGAGAAAATACTAACCTGTTTCAGTGCTTAAAATGGCATTTCATTGCTAGAAGCAAGGGTAGGAATGTGTGAAGGAACTTGTGCTGTAACATTCTTATGCCTTTTTCAGGGGGTATCTCTATTTCTTCAACAATAAACAGTACTGAAATAGATGGGCCTAAGAATGGTCACACTAGAGCAGAATGAGCGCTTTTTATCCTGGGTTCACAGACATTACCTCTTGTCACAACTTACCATACCTGCAAGTGGTGAACTAAAGCATAATACTATGCTAGTAGACCACACTTAGACAGCTGTATATTTGACAATCAGTCTTATCAATTTTTAAGGACCATGACCTTTTTTCAAAGTCTGCCTAGCCAATATATATTAAAACCTATCCAATGTCACTTTTTAAGATCCATTTCTTCACTTTAATCAGTCAACTGTGAATTAATTATTAAAATAATGCTTCTGTGAAATATAATTCTGTAAGACATTAGTTTAAGATTCACCATTCACAAAATAAGCAGAACACTCCTAACCTGAAGTTCTTCCCAGAGCACTGCCCTCATTTCTTTGCCTTGTTTTTTAATTCCTTTCTCCTTAAGATGTTGTTTTTCAAGTATTGTGTCAAGTTTATTCATTTTCTTTATAGCTGCTTGAATCTGAGGATCTACATCTGTGTCTTCAGAACACTTCAAGTTTGCTGTAGAATATATTTAAAATTAATGTTAGCTTGAAGCATGTCAACTTAAAAAAAAACAAACAAACACTAAAAAGCATAACAAGTAAGTTGGTAACAACCATAGACAAGAGCACAACTACTGTCAAGCACATATATTATGTTAACTTCTAAACCTATTTGTAGCAGGGAAAAATACAGAAGTCTTTGCAACAGAATGCTGAATCAACCTCTGAGCTGCAGCAGTTGGGTATGGAGGTGTGGGAGAGGAAAAGACATCCAATTTGGGCAAGGGATTTGACTCGAAGTTATAATGGAAGACTGACAACATCTCCACAGTATCAGGAAAAATCATAAAGTAAGCTTATAAATAAAAAGAATGTCTTCAGCCTGACAAGTAGAATATATGTTGAAATTAATAACTCTGGGGTTAAGAGAGACTTTCTAATATCTCTACCTTCAAATGTTACAGAAGTTTCAGTCTTGACTTATATCTCAGACAAACCAGATTCTGACACTGGTTCTAGAAAAATGTTGCTATGAAAAATAGAAATGGTGAAACATTATGAAAACTACCATTATTTAATTGAAGTAGATTTCTGTACTGTCTCTTTTTTTTTCCTAAATATGCAGACTACTATTTCTGATCACTTTCAGCTCCTCCCCTTCCTATAGCATCCTCATGCTCTGTCCTCTTTCCTGGTCAAACTTAGTTTCCATATCACAAGTAGAACACTTGTAGTACTGTCCCTTACCCCACAGACTTACAAATTTTGGAGTCATTCAATACTCTCTTTCATTTTCTAATCTTTTGAGGTCAAATGCTTTATATAGTCATTGATCCAAGCATTTATTGTGATGCATAGGTCTACTTTATGCCATAAAAATGATGAGTGATACAACAAGAGGAAACTTATAAAAATCTAAGTGAGTTCCAGGGAAACTCCAAGGACAGATGGTCAAAAAAGAGCTCTTATTTCAACTGGCCTAAACCCAGTAGAGAGTTTAAACCCCGGGTTTAAACTATTGAGTTAAGTTTTGAGGTTAAATTCTATCCAATTTCTGTTCTGAATAAACAAGTATCATGTTTGCTGCACTGGAAAGAATCACCCCTGGATTCTGCCTGACTAGACAGACCAAATATATGTAAAACTAAATTCTATCAGAACACTGAAGAAAGTGAATATCCATTAATAAAACAATCTTTAAACCAAGAATTCATCCAACACCTCTTGAACAGCACAATGCATACATGTTTTCAATTTGTAGTATTTTTTTTATAACTACATAAATATAAATAGATCAGAATACCAAACACTCCTAGGAGCATTAATAGGAAAGAAAAATGAAGAATTTATTGCACTGTTCACTTTATACACCTGAAAAGCAGTACCTGATTTTGCATTACTTGGTTTTCCTTGGGAAGGTTCACAGAATTTCAGAGTCTGTGTTTCATTGTCTCCACAATCTGAATTAGAGCTACATCCTGAAAAACACAGGGAAAAGCCTTTCACAATAACCGAGATCCATTTTTGTGAGTTAAGGATCCCCACAGAGCTTCTACACTTTAAAAAATGGTTATGTACTAGTACACCAGGACTCATGTTAAATGCAGGAGCAGGAACCTAGGGATTTCTTTTGGTCCCAATTTTTAACTAAATTTGAAGAAGCTATCCAATCTTCTGCTTCAAATACTGGCCTTTGCATCTGTATTTTTCAATAGTCAGAAGCTTCAGAAAGTTAATTCATTACCATTTATAGAATGAGAGAAGAATGCCATCCGAAGAACTTCTGCGAGTGCTTTATTAAAATTATGTATTGCATACTTAAAGTATTTTATTAGTATTAACAACGTTCAGTTGTTAAATAGTATAACTTATAACCATAAATCCAATTTTTTGGACAGGTGGACCATTGTTAGGATACACAGTTTCTAACAAATGATCATGATCTCTGTGAAATGTTTGATAAAAGCACCTTAATGAATACATTTTCCAGCACGGTTCCCTGGAACACACTGTACTGGGTTTGCATGGCCAGAGTTTGGTAGTGAGGGGGCTTCAGGGGTGGCCAAAGAACACAAGAAAGTGCTAGTCATTTCCACACCTGACAACTCGCTGGGATTCTGTATACATTTCTGAAGAGAGAAGGTCATACTCTCCATTGTGGTTTGCTGATCTGTTCTTACTTCCTCGACATCAGATTTCTCTCTTTTGTTTTCTGCTGGACAGCAATCTTCTAGACTGCCTCTCTGATAACCATCAGCCACACTGAGAAGCAAATCAACCTATGAAATGCAAATTCTTACAATCATAAAGATAGAAATATTTTGAGAGTAGATTTTGGGTAATCACAATACTCACATGCTGTCACAAAGGCCAACAACAATTCTGCACAATACTGAAGTGTACTTCTTAAATAAAAGAACCATTTTCAGGTCTGATACAGAGGTCAGCTCCTTAGTCATCACTTTGATTCTCAAGTTCACCATTCCACAGACTGCCAGATTTGGGACTGCTAGGCTAGGAAATTATTACGAAGGTGTATACCATTTCTGCTGCAGCAGAGATTCTACGTTTTGCAGAGCACTCAGTGTCTGGAAATGGATGAGGCTGTTGGACACACAGACTCATGTGTGGTTGTCTGTGTGTCCAACAGCCTCATCCATTTCCAGACACTGTGAGTACTCTGCAACATGTAGCATCCCAGTCTCTTGCTCATACTACAAAGAAAGGCTGAAAAGCTCATGCTTAATTCATCAGCCTCAAGAGATTACAATTTCCATTCAAGAGCCTGTAAGTTTAGATCAGAACTTGGATTCAAGAGTTATCTGCTGTCAACCTCAATATCCAACTGTAAATCTATAAAAATAATTTAATACTTCTGTGAAGGATCTAAGTATGATCCCATTCTACAGACAAGTGAGCAGAGGTACAACACAATTGGACTAAGATAAGTAAATCAATCTAAATCATCTCTAATTCCCAAGTCCCAGTTTCCCAAAAAAATTATCTCATATCCCATCCCCAAAATTAAGTTAATCCCCAATACTAATTTTCTCAGAGGATGGATGAACACCTACTTCCAACAGACTTTGCAAAATTCCTAGAGCTGACATTTCTTGGAATACTATGAATTGGTTTTTAAACATAATTCAAAGATATCCTGAGAGAACTTTGTAGTCAAAAATTCAACTTGTGAGGATTGCTCAAATGATTTTTTTTAATAAGCAAAATCAGTTTTGTTCCAACTTAAACTTAAAAGCACAAATGGGATTAAAGTGAAATTATTCACATGCTGCTCATGCATCAACAACCTATAGCCATGTATTTACATAATACTGACAGAATTTCGAATGTTTTTTCCTTAAAATAAAATTTATTTAATAATACAATAAAATATAAAGATGAAGACAACCAAGTTTTCCAGGTTGCAGTACTAAATTACCCTTTTCATGGCAAATATAAAAGTAACACAGATTCACAAAAATGAAATTAAAAATTATTCTATTGCTGCAGAAGGAGAAGACCACATTCAGGGATGTTCACATAAACCCTCAGCATACCTGCAGAGCCCAGAACTGCATACAAAGCTAAAAAAGCGGAATATGACCTTTTAGCATTCTTACGAAGAATTAGGCATAGAGTTTCTAACCTGCTGAAGGTGAGAATTACCTTTTGCAAATGTGGCTCTGGTGTTAGTAACTCCATAGATGTATTTAAAGATCTACAATTGTGTTTTGAGCCAGATGCAGGCCTTGAAATGTCATCCGCATTCCCACTTGCGATGTCCACTAGTACCTAAAAGTGGAAAAAATCCAAAAACAACCCTTCAAACTATCAGTTCCATAGGAAAGCAATACAAGTCTTGTACTATTTCAGATGTAGATCAAACAAGTTTCAAATCCTTTTTAGAAATTCCATGTTGAGAGGTCTTTCCAATTTAGATCTGCTACCCACTCAAGTATACACTTTTTAACAGAGGTGCAAATATATATTTATATCATCAAGCCAACCAAAGTAATAAAATGTGCTTACTATCAAAGACACTTCAAATGGTGTAAATCTTAAAAGTAGAGAAATTATTATGGTTCTTTTTTTGTTCTTTTTTAAAAAAACACTGGACTGGTAAAGTTAGCACAAACAAAAGAATTAAGCATTTTAGAGACATCTCGAAAATTATTAAAGCAGCCAAAAGCTATTTATGTTAAACGCGGGAAATTCCCAAGTCCAAATGATCACATTCCCCATCCCAGCTCAGTTTTGAGTTTAAATCACAGAAATGCATGTTTCTCTGCAAAAATTGTGTGAATTCCCAGGAATTAAACATCTTGAGCATGTGACATGCGCTGGCAACTCTCTGAAGGCCCAAGTGAATACAACTCTTTATTTCAGCACAAGAAACGGAGCAAACCGAGTCCTGTACACAGGTCTGTAACATGACAAGGTACAAAAAGCGGGCAGAGAAGAAAAAGAGTAGTTTGCACCCATTCACTTCACCTCGTGCACCCCGGGCTCATCCCCCGCAAACGCCTCTTCACACCAATCACCACGTGCCTCCACGGACGATGAAGCTGCCGCCCCGCTTCCCACCGCGGCCAGCCGGGAGCCTCCCGATTCCCTGAGGAGTTCTGGCCTACACGAGGCCTCTGCCAGCGGCGGGGCGCACAGCACCCGTGGATTTCTGGGGAGGGAAGGCGGGTGGGACACCGGAGCCCCGCTCTCGCCGCGGGAGGGCGGCGGGACCCGCGGAGCCGCCGCTGCCGCCGTTGCCATGACGACGGTCCCCGCGGGGTCTCGCGAGAACGGGCGGTCGGCCCTGCCCGGCGGTGGCGGCGATGGCGGTGTGGCTGCGCCGCTCCCGCTGCTCGCCCCCTCGCCCTCCTTCCAGGGGTGCAACCGTGACCGAGCCCTCCCGCAGGGAGCCCCGCCGGACCTCGGCCCTCTCCGCCCTGAGAGAGAGAAGTGCTGCTTGGAGGGCACCCTTTCCCTCCTCCGTGTCCCCCCGCAGGGCTGTGCCGGGCCCCTTTCAGTTGCAGAAAAGTTACTGGACTGACCCTTCTAAATAGTGTCTGTGTGCTGTGGACTATTATTGCTTCTTTTGCTAGTCTTGTTTGTCTAGGCTCCTGTATTAATTGTGTCAGGTTTACTTATCAAGGATAGATGAATCACTTTTAAATAAACTCGTTAAAATTATTACAGTGGTCACCATTTTTTACTTGAATATTCACTGTTAGTAAAGAATCTAATTATTTGAGGAGTGTAATTGCCTTCCTAATCCCATCCCTTTTCATATCTTTTCTGCATTTAAACCAAATGAGAGGGTTAATTCATGCGTTCTAATTCACTTGCAAAATTACTGGCTCCTACAACTAATTTTGATAGGTACGTCAAAGCAGGTTTTCATTGGCAGCAAAAATTTACAGGAAACAGTTTGAAAAAACAAAGTGCGTTTCATTCAAAGTAAGGTTTTGATTGATTATTTTTTTTTCCTGCCAAAATAAATCTTCCTCTGCTGGGGGCATGTATTGCTGTCTGCAGTAGAGCTTTCATTGATGCTTATAGTGTATGGCATTGCACTGTCACTTGTGCCACTAAGAGAGCAATTTGTTCTTCGTATTTAGTGTAATAATAATGCAATGTGCACTAGTGAAGCCTTTGTTTTAGCCTCCTTCCTAAGCATGCTGAGCTCCAGGTATGTTAAAATTTTAACTTAAGTCTTGCAATTGCTAATGCAATACCAGAGTGCTGTTAGGAACCTGTGGTGCTTTCCAGATGGTGCAGAGGATGATTTGAAGCAAAAAATAGAAGAATGAACATTTACATCTGCAAGCTGAGTATTTAAGGCCAGTAATGGCAATAAGAAAGCAGTAAAATGGACAATATGATCCAGAACTGGCTAAACTAAAATCTGGGTTTTGCTGTATTAGGAATTAAATTAGCTATGAATAATGAGGTATGGCAAGCAGCTAGGTATAACTGCTCCAGTATTTATTTATTTCTACAGTACTATGTATATACTTAACAGCTGACAGAGTTTGACTTGCTATCAGCTTCCCTATTACACACTGCCTAAAACCTCAGAAGAGTCCATGAAAGGAGAACATCCAACTCCAAATCTAGTAAAAAACCAGACAAAAAACTCCTTTGAAAGTGGTGCAGGAATAGGCTCCTTATCACTGCTTGTCATATAGAATCAGTGAAGATTTTCAATGAGGCTGTCACACCTGAGAGTGAGTAATAATGGCTTAGCAGGGATATCTCAAACTGCAGTTGAACTTATGTTCTGTGAGCGTTACACGTCCTAGTAGACACAGAAAGGAAAAGAAGAGATTCACAGAGTTCATCTCAAATCCTGTAGATCAGGCCATAAGAGTCTTCCTGTCCAGTAAGAGGACTGAAGTTTGTAAACATCATTAAACATTGCAGAATCTCAAATATTGTTATAGGTGGCAGGTGTACTTACACTGAAACTTGAAGAGCAGAACCAAGGTTGTGATTTTTTTTTTTTTTTTCCCTTTCCAGGAACAGGTCAGTTTTATTCCAAGCTAATCTAGATACTTCTCTGAAGTATGATGATTTGAAAAAAAACCAAACAAACAAACTCTTGTGTCTAGGAAGGGCACAGCAAGAAAAGTACTCCAAGATGTGCCTTTCATCCTAAAAGATGGGTTACAACATAATGAAGTCACATTTAGACAAGCTGTCTTGATATCCAGAACATAGTCACCGTAGTAATAGAATTCATTTATTCCTTTCTTCCTAATCCAATCAAAAAGAAGCACAAATTAAGGGAGAAATATAGGGAACTTGTTCCCAATTACTACTGCTTATCTGCATGCTCCTCTGCTCAAAAGCATTTTAATACATGAATAAGTAGCCAAGACACTTTCATTGTCTCATACATGTTGGAGAAAAAATTAGCTCATTAGTTACTTATCTTTGATTATTTTTAATAGCCTTTTGTGTACTCATCTGAAGTACATTTCATTTACCAAAGGTAATATTTTTAAGGTAGACTGTAAAAGTTCTAGTACTCAGCTCAGGACAAGCACAATTAATATTCACTATTCATTAACATTCCTCTAAATGTTAGGGCAATAAACATTTTTGTTTACAGACAAATTTGTCCTTTTCCTGCAAAGGACAAATAGATTATGTATTAATATCTTTTGACTGGCATGTACCAAGTCAAGGGCAAAGAGCCAGAAATTTTGGTCATATTCCAACTTTTCCAGAAACCCTCAGTGAGGTTGAGTAGAGTTCTGCAGAGTGCCCCATCAGCTATAGTGATACAGCACAGTGACCTGTCAGCGGACAAAGACAGGCCAAACTAAAATGCAAAGTCCAGAGTCAGTGGTGAAACTTCCCTTTTGTTTCATAAACCCAGGTTTTCATTCTTTAACTTGTACTGGGAAAGTTCCTGCCTTGACAAAGTTCTTTCATGTTGCCACACCTTCTGCTGCAGGTCAACAGCAGAGCACAGGAAGCAGGAGCTCAAGATGGATTGTGTTGTGCTGAAATGCCTCAGAGCCACAGCGTGCAGTGTGTTGGGAGTTTGCTACTAGAGAGGTGCAAGGGAACCCAAACAATGCGATCCTGCAAGTGTCTCAGGACCTTCTTCTGCAGCTTAGGATGTGATCCAGGCAAAAAAAGTAGAGGGTTTAGTTTTACAGAAAATGGAGGCAAAGAAGCTATAATGCTTAGTCAAGTAGTGTGCACAAAGGAGTTTCTGGAGTAAATCACCATCTCAGTGCATTATACGTAGCCATAGGGAACCTCGGGATGAAGAACAGCTGTTACAGAAACCCTGGTTTGCATTAACAAATGTATATTCAGGAATTGGATCTCACTTGATATTTCTTAAGCTTGCTTTAAAAAATAGTCCACTTTCTCACAGAGAATAAACAACAGAACTTTCTTCTCACAGGGAAGAACAACAGAAACTGCAGAACTCTGCTATGTGCTTGCAGAGGCCTTTCACAGAGATGAAGAATGCTTCTGCATCCCACTCCTATATTATCTCTGAAGAAACCATACAGAAAAATCAGCCTCTGTGTACCCCTCACCACCTTTGGTTAGTTTAGCAGACTTAAAACAGATGTGGAGCAAAGACTATTTTGGACCAGTTCCTGCTGTTCCACTTCTGTGTCCTCCAGGGACACAAGAGAGGGGACGAATCAACCTGCTCATGAGTGCAAGCATCTGCATCTGGAGTTCTGCAGCTTTCCACAAGATGTGTCGTGTTTTGTTATTTTTCTAAACTGCCCTTGAATTACAAATTACTCAAAATTGCAGTAACTAACCTTGTGGCCCCAGTTTGATAGTTAAAAACATCGTTATGACTAGTTTAGAAATCCTGCTAATATCTCTGTTTTGCACAGAGAAAGTTGCTTCAACTAAAATAAAAAAGAGTCACCTTTTGAAAAGGTAAGAAAGTTTTAAGTCTGAAGCCAGGACTTCAGCCAAATCTTTTGGAGGGGTGAGGCTGAGTCCTTCAAGGCCAAAAAAAATAAACCCATTTATTATGTCATACTGACTTCTAGGTAGGTTAAAGCACATTTACACAGTAACTTGTATCAAGTAAGATTAGAAGGCAAGGACATTGCTTTTTTAATGTTGACATTCTTTATCAAATTATGCAGTGCAAGGTCAGGTGACATGAACAAGAGGAACAACCTGAGTTCTGAAGGGCATGTAATCATGTCCAGAGTTAGTTATTGTCACAACAACTTACAGGACAGATCCTGTTTAGTTAGAACCAGCTTCTAAGTCCACGTCAATTGATCTGGAAAAACACCTTGACTTTCCTCTTTGTTCTTCAACTTCTAGTCCACTGATAGAGTAATATTATCCCAGGAAACAGAATAGAAGAAAAGTTATTACAGAAATACAGCCATCTTTTTCTGGAAAACATTATCTATAAGTGTATTTTTAAAACCAGAACAACTGCATTCATTAAATTATTGCAGTTTAGTAACAATTAGATCTGTTCTACAATAGAATACTTGGAGAGGTTCTAAAAGACTGCTTTTCTGTGGAAGTTTTTCCCACTGTGCAAAATAAATTGTTTTCAAGTATTTAACCAACATAGCATTATTTAGTACTGAAGAACTGTGTCGGGTTTTTGTTGGGTCTGAGGGTTTTTATATTATTTTTACATGATGTTTGAATTTTAACAGTATTTCTTGAAGATGTCGCAGAACAATAAATTGACCTTGTCCCCATACTCTTTTCATCCATTTCAAATGATATCTTCTTTTGTTTAATATCCACTCCATTTTCCTCCCTTAAGTGGTAGAATAATGAGTTTTAACTTTATTTTCTCCATGTTTATTCTCGTGTAGTAAGATTTAGCCTTTAAATCTATTTGCACAGGCCAAATTACGCCAGGCTTTCTCTTCATAAATTCCCACATCTTTGCTTTGTAGTTCACTTTTGTTCTTGTGAGACACTGGATATTACTTATTGGCTCAGACCAACTCAGGTGGTGGGGGGGAGCAGGATAGGTTGAATTTCTCGAAGGTGTCCCGTACCCCAGCCCCTTGGAGTCTGTCTCCTTGGGCAACCCTGGGGCAGCTGTCAGTCAAAAGCAGCCTGGGAGCACTGCTCACACCACACTCCCTGGAGCCAGTAACCCAGCCTCGGAATGGCTGGCACACTGGGAACACTGCCCCTCTCCCCACCCTGGAGCCACGGAGTGGCCGCTGGCCCACAAAATCCTGCCGGGGGTGGGGGGGGACTGTGGCCACAGGGGGCCAAAGCAAATAAAAACAGCAATATGTGCTCTCCATGGTGTTCGAACCCTCCATCTTCTGGACTCCTGTAGCTGGATCTACACTGGATCTAGGGGTGGTAGCTGTAATTCTTTCTTGAATTCTAATCTCCTTTCTTGGTATTTTGGGTAACATAGGATCAGATGGGTTGGATTTTGCTAAACTGTATGGGTTAGCATGTGCTAAGTCAATGCTTTGTGGAATGCTGTATTTTGGTTGAATGTTACCTTTCCCCGGGCAGATGGAGCTCGTTAGCCCTTAAAGGCAACCCACCTACGTCCTGAGGACCTGGCTGCCACCTTCCAAGCTCGCTTGGCCCCGGCAGATGAACCTTAGGATTAAAGGGTGGGCTCAGTTCCGCGCACACTGTGTCTCACCTAAAAAGTCCAATGCGCAGGCTGAAAGGTGTAAAGACCTTCCCCGGATCTTCACTCGCAAAGACTGGCCATTATTATTATTATTGTTACCTTTCACACTTTTGCCAAGTTCCCTTATTTTCTAAAGTTTAACAGTTAAAGTACTTCCCGAGAAAACACGTGCAGCATCTCTCCATTGCACTCTCTCTTCAGGTTTTAAAAGAACTGAAGGCTCTTCTAATAAATTTAGCAGGCAAATTTTTGGAGTATTGTATATTTTTAAAGTAAAACTCCTTTGGGGAGCTCAGACCCTGAGTCTTATTATCTTCAATAATCTGAAATATTTATCTTACCAACACCGTGGCAGTCAAAACCAACCATCATTACAAAAACACCCAAAACCCCCAATCAAACAAACAAACAAACAAACAAACAAACAAACCCAAAAAAACCCAAACCTCACTTTTACTTATCTTCAACGTGATGTTAAAAACATTGATATTGTAGAGCATTTTGCCTAGTTGAAATCAATTGAACAAGCCAAGAGACAGCATAATGACTTAAACTTACTACTGTCTTAAACATAATTAAAAATTAAACTCTACAAGTCAAATATTTCACCTTGCATAAAGAGTTTACTAAATTACTGTTTTCTGATGACAATTCTAGGACAGAGGCTGTATTGTGAATTTTACAAAGATTTTTTTTTCTATGAAAAGATGCGCTTTTGCATATTTTTTCCACTTCTGCTAAACATTCACATGGATAAACTACTGAAAGAAGAACTAAGATAAATCACTCTTGATTAATTCTTCAGGTATGGAAAACCAGCATAGTTAATTTGTTGGTGAAAAATTTCAATGTCTTCAGATACAATCTTCTAAAAGAAATACAAGTTTTCACATGCATCCTCTTTGGAGGATAAATCCTCTTTTGTCTCAACAGTCAAAAAACCATCACAAACACTTTGCTTTCCAGATATGATAACACTAAATTATAAGTCATTTGGCTCTTTAAATTTATCACTGGCATTTCATTCAGCATGAAGATTGAAAAGGACAAAACTAAGTTTGGTTTCCTCAAAGGAGTTCAGATCTGAGTACATATTTATCCAAATTCATTAACCATAGAGATTTTGAGCAGTATCTGTATGTAAGTGGGATATAAGTTTAACATGAATGGTAAATCCAACCCAAATTCATATGGAAACTGTAACTCCTACTTTGTTTTTTAGGTTTTCAGGATTTTCTCAAAAGCATCTGTTCTTTTACTAACTTTGGAAAACAAACACTGCATTAAATAACCTTTTACTGACACTTAAAAAAAATACATGCTGTGGTACTTTTCCACCTCTGCCACAGAAGGACCACTTTTTTCTGGAATCTTTCTTCTGTCTGATTTCAGGCAAGCTATATATACCGTCTCACATCTAAGAAGAGCAGCTGAGGTTCCCACCACCCATCTGGACCCCTTGAAGACTGCTCTTTACTCTCAAGCTGAGAAGCTCTTGAACTAGCAAGAAGTGAAGTGCACTGAAACAAAAGAAGAAATGGAGAAAAACTTATTTTACACATAGACACTTTTCTTTAAATATATTTTTATTAAAACATTTGCTTTTAATGCCTTGTAGAAATCCACCACCTTGGAATCACCAGAAGCTGGTGACTTTCTTCAAATATGTCAAAGGAAGGAAAGGTACATCTCCAAATTCTGCTTCAGCAGAATCTTCTGTCACTTTGAAGATTACCTGGTTGGATTTAGTAAGTTACCGTGAACTTGTCAAGATTCTTCACCTAGTCCTGTTAAGAGTATGCTTTAAAGAAAACTACTTTCATAAACAGACAGTAACCACAGAAAACAGTTCAGCATGCAGCAAAGGGAAAAAGTACAGGAAAACCACAAGGAATAAACATATTATAAGACTCTGCTTTTAAGAAACTACCCACAGAGACAACAGTGAATGCAGATGAAAAACTACTTGCAACTGAACAAGGGTTAAAATGTCAGGGTTACAATAGTTTTAGGTCACCTAACAGACAGAGATAATCTAAAGTTCACATTCAGTATAAACAAGACAATATGCCTGTGGTTATGCAGAGGGGCAAGCTGCAGCACAATGCCTGAGTTCTCACAGAAAGTCTGGTGTGCTGATGGCATGACTGTGGCTCACTCAGAAATCAGGCACCAGATTTGAAAGCCTCATGGTCATACACTTAATGGTCTACTCCATGAGATGAGTGGAGCAGGATAGTTGGTATCTGTACCTGCGAAGGTAGAAGAAAAACCTCTCTACCTCTGTCAATTGTGAGAAACTGCATTAATAAACCTTTGCCTTTAGAGGTCTGTTACCAGCTTCTTCACTTCAGTTGTCACTGAGACACTCTGTGTCTATCTGTGTGAGTCTCTCTGTGAGATAGACTCCAAAACTAAGATTGTCACACTCGGAGAAAGGCTATTAGCATTTCAAACTCATTTCTTTCATTTCCTAGGTTTCCTGTAAGAAAACAGCAGAGTGCACCAGCAGGTAAGTTTAAGGTTTGAGCCTATGTTACTTACACAATGCATACATTACACTGTTGGGACATTTGTATATGCCCTTTATTACAGGATCAAAGTGTTCTCTTTATGCCTTTGGCACATACATACTTGTTTATTGGAGTCAGGATTTGTCCTGCATGATCTCCAATCCCGTTCTTATTTAAAACTATGAGAATATACACACACACATGATAATTTGGTTATCCTTGGCTTTGTGGAAGTTTTATGCCAGAAAGCAGTGGTTCAGGTTTTTAAAAACTTTAGATGTTTGGCAGATGCTTAGTAACTAATTTGTGCAAAAAACCCAGTAAGCTTTAACACTGATTGAATAAATAGGCTTAACAGAAAACAAATGCACTTAATAGTCCATTTGACTTCATTAATGAAATATGCAAAATCTTGCTGTGTCTATTTGCAGTAGAGTAGGATTTACCCATGTTGTATGTCTTCTGCTCTCTACAGCCTTTCCTATTAAGTTACTTTAATACCCAGTCCATTTTAATACAAACATGAGGTTTCCCAGAAAACTGACTAACTGTATTTCCATAATTCAGCCATACAGAGTTCCCAAAGCCATATATTCTTTTTGAAATTTAATCAGACAGGTATCATCATAAGGATTTCAGAGATAAAATTTAAGACTTTCCTTATCTGATATATTATTTTCATGACATATTTCATATTAATAAGGAACACTTGTATATACATTTTCCTTGTTTGTTCATTTAAATTATATTTGGCACAAGAAAAAATCAGCCTGAAACAAATTTCAACATAATAAAGATCCATGGGATCACATATATAATAGAAAGTGACCTTCCTCTGCCACTGCAAGCTCCTGCTCTTACTAAGAATCCACCTTGGGAAAGATACTGACTTTATTGTTTCTGCTGACTTTTCTTTCTGCTTTACACTTGGGCTGTTTGGTCTGGATTAGCTCTTCAGGGGTATTCCCCAGAGGAGGCAGGAGTCGCTTCTTACTGTTTCGGTTTTCTGAGAGCCACTGCGGAGGCAGCTCAAAGGGTCCAAAACCAAACTGCATGGAATACTTGTCATTTACTGGATCAGCCTCTGTGGGCACAGCTGGGGCCACCTGAGCTGCAGAGTCTGCAACCGTCTGTGGTACAAATCTGTGAACCAAAGTCTGTCCTAACTCTAAACTGGTGGTAGGAATTTCTTTCTGTTGCAAGTCACCAGAGACAATGGATTTAGTCTCATTCTCCTCATCTTCCATTGGCTTGAAGATTTGTTGTTGCCCAATATGAAACATCTCCAGAAGCTGGCTTCCCGAGTGGACATTGGGCTCCAGATTATCGTCTGCAACACCACCTGAGCTGACAATGTTTCTTCTGCTAAACCTTCGGTGCAGCTGTACTATTGTCCCCACTAAGCACTTCCGTACTGATTTGTTAACAGTTAAAAATAACAAAGGGTTGGCCAGCAAAGAGACCTTGGGCAACCAAATGGCAGTGAGGAGCAAGAAGACTGAAATATCTGAAATATTGAGTATGGTGCGGTAAATCACCAAAGTCACATACGGGACGCTGCAGAAAATGAAGATCATAACCATAGAAAGCAGCATGACATGAAGCTCAGCTTCTCGCTGGGAGGCATATGGGATAGAAACTGTATTCTGAGGAGTCCTTAACGCAGCTATGATGACTTTTTTCTTCTGGCTGGCACTCAGTGCTCTGCGAATAAGAATCATAAAGAGAAATACCACAGCCACTGGTACAATCACAGTGGTGATGTTATAGATGATGACATATACCAGGTGGCCAAGGGAGTAACTCCAAGATTCAGAACAGGTGGACATGGCATAAATGTCAAACACATTGGTCATAACAAATACTGGAATGCTGGCCACTATTGCATGGGCCCAGATGTAGATAACCAGGTCTCGGGATTTTGCATCAGTTATTTTTCTTTCCAGAGGGTATAAAACAGAGTAGTATCTGTCAAAACAAAAATAAAATTATAATTGATACAATGCAAAGGGTGGAGTCTATAACGAGCACAGTCCGTATGAAAAACCTCTCACAGGAGCTCTCTCAGCGTAACATCCCAAATCCCTAACTAGGTTATCAACTGAGTACCTGCTTAGGAGAGGAAAAAAAAACCCAAAACCAAGGGTCTGCCTTTGCAGGTCTGTCTGTAGAATAAAAATGAATATTGAAACTTCAGGATCACATTATCGGTGGTAAACAATTCTTTCAATAACTGGGACTATATCACTTTAGCTGATGCACATGAACATTATTTTGAAGATGTCATCATTTACTTGTAAACTAGAACAGCACATTGCACACAACTCAAAATTTCAAAAAACGTGATGGGGGCACAGATATGTCACACTGAACGGTCAGACTCATAGTTAATTTTAAAAGCTGCTTTATGATAGATTTTTTTTTTTTTTTGATACTTGGAAAAAGCTGTTGGTGACAAATTCCATCTATTGGAAGTACAATGGTGTTTTGTTTTGCACAAGCTGTGGTCAGCAAGGCCCTGAGCAAGAACTGCTGAACACTGAACATTCTGTGTGCATTTAAAAAAAGTGCATCTCCGACATTCACTTCAAATTTCAGACACTGATTCACTGTTTGCTTACTACTGGACTACTGCTGTGGATTTTTAAGCTCACAGAGTTTTCATGATAGACCTAATTTTTCACACTTATCATTATAAGTGGTAGGAATTTGTGCTTTTTGTGAGGAAGATCACAAGTTTTCTTGGTGAAGGGCAAATGATATGCTGTTCCACTGGCAACACTGGTGTGCGTTATAGATAGTGATACTGCATTTATCAAGACATTAACATTAAAGCAAGAGACATATCACTTTATTAGGTATACAGTTTGGTTTTGTAGAGCTAACATATTCTGTGGTGAGATGTGATAACAGACTAACAATAATTTTATCTAATGTGCGTAAGTCTACTGTTTTAGTAGTGTGTCCTGTATTAAACCAGTATCTACCATTCCTTAGAAATATCTAACTTACAGTCACTGTCAAGCTGATAGAGCTGTGCATTTAGGTGGGATCAGTGACTGATAATAATTTGCAAAATGAATGGAATCAAAAAACTTAGCCAGTCCAAAGGGCCACTTTTGGTTTAGACTGATCTACATACAAAAATTCTCTGAACTAATTCCGGTTGTATTCATTTTGTTTGGTTTTTTTTTTAAAGCAAATCAACATTTGAAATTTGACATTGATGGACAATCTACCTCCAGGCACTGGTAAATCCTTCTAACAGGCAAGGGCTTTCAATTTCCACAGTTAAAAATGTGCGCCTCATCTACAGTCTGAAGTTGACTGCTTTTAAGTTCATTACTAACCAAGAATTATTAGGAAGAAATATATAAAAAATAAGAAATAAGGAAGAAAATATAAAAACTTATCTGAAGACAAATCTGTAGTCTCAAAGTCCTTTATAAACGTCCAGAGATACCAGAGTAAACTGAAAACTAAAGATTTTCACTGTTACAAAAATATTTCTCCCAAATCATTCTAGAAAGAAACTGTACACTGCAAACAGAGCACCAGAACAAAAGCAAGACAATATGAAAGGAAGAAAATTATTTCAAAGGGAGAAAGAAGAAAGGAAAATACAGGACCATGGCAAATTTGCTCCCTTACCTGTCAAGAGCAATGGCTGGAAAACTAAGGATGGTCACTGAGCAGAAGACTTTGTGCAGAAACTTGGCAATTCTGCAGAAGAGCATCGTATAGATCCACCAGCAGCAGTGTGGACTGGCACTAAGAGCAATGTCAAAAGGCACACAGACCAGGCTGGCACAGATCCCCGAGCAGGCCAAATTCTTAATGAATCGGCTTGTAACAGATTTAAGTAGCGATGTTCTGCAAGTTGACCACAGCACCATGGTGTTACCTGTGAGCAGAGACAGGAAGCTTAAACAAAGGAAGACAAACAGACAAATAACCACCCCCAAAACTCCAACAACAATAATCTTAACAGATTTGAATGTTCCCTAGTACTGCAAATAAAAATACTTTTCTTGCATTTGTCAGGAGTCACTGATTGAATCATCACACTGCTCAAACTATAAGTCTGTCATGACTATTGGCTTTATAAACCAGAAGACTGAAAACAGTTATTCCCCAGCTATCTCCTCCCAGCTTCTGGTAACAGATGAATTAGGGAATTTTAAGAGGCAAATGCCTACGCAAAATATACAAACTGTATTTTTTTTAAAGGTTATGTTGCTTCTCATATTAAATGATCCACTCTGAGTATTCAAATACAGGAATTGGCTAAAGTGCTCATATTTGAATAATTAGTGCACAACTCCTTTTTAAAGATAAAAATGCACTGTAAGTAAATATAAATATAATTAAAATATAAATATAAATGTGTAGTTTTAATCAATTTGTCTCTATGTGTAAGCGGATCACAGTAGCTTGCTTTTCTTTCCACTGACTACTTCAATGGCACAGACAGGCCCGTGTGAAGCCACATCCAGATGAAATTTGCCTTCCCCCTCACCCAAGAGATGCTACATGTACATAATAACATGTAACTAAACACATGGGATGGGCAGAACAGAAAAAAAAGGACTTGATGCACATAACTTCACAGACATATACATGAAATGCAACCTGCTGTTTGGAATATTTAAGCCCTACACATTCATTTCAAATAGAGTGAATGGATGGCAGAAGTACAGAAAAAAGCCAGCATTAGTTATGACAGTATTTTCCCCTTATCATCGCATCTTATTCCATTCTGATCTCATAAAGAAATATCATATGACAGAAACAAATTCTCCATCACAAATTTACCTATGATTTTACCTCACACAGCAAGATCACAAGAGTAAATGAAGTGATCTGTTCTTACTGCATGTGGCTCTGGATCCTTTCTAATGCATATCAAGATACCAGAAAACTCATGGGATTTTCTCCCTTCTTTAAAAACCTGTCTTTAGCAAGATCATAGAATCATAGAACGGTTTTGGTTGGAAGTGGCCTCAAAATACCATCTAGCTCCTAGCCCCCTGCCATGAGCAGAGACACCTTCCACTAGACAAGGCTGCTCCAAGCCCCATCCAACTTTATTCTGAACACTTCCAGGGATGGGCATCACAATGTCTGTGGGCAACCTGTTCCAGTGCCTCACCACCCTCACAGTAAAGAATTTCTTCCTAATATCTAATCTAAACATATCCTCTTTCAGTTTGAAGCCTTTCCCCTGTGTCGTACCACTAAATGTCCTTGTACAAAGTCCCTATCCAGCTCTCTGGCAGTCCCCTTTAGGTACTGGAAGGCTGCCATGAGGTCTCTGTGGTGCTTTTTCTTCTCCAGGCTGAACAACCCAAACTTTCTCATCTTGTCTAGATCAGGTGCTCCCGCCCCCCCGATCTATGGAGGCAGGAGGATCTCCACTAGCACAGCTGAGTGAGGCACACATACTCTGCATGACGCAACCTGGTCCCACCTTTCCAACCCTGGCTCCACAGACACTATTTTTCTCCTTTATTTTCTTTATCCCAACAACATACTGTGCAGTACAGTCAGCACATAGCTACCAGAATACAAATACTGCTTGACAAGACAACTCCATTTATTCTGCTGCAGCTGGACAGCACGCAAAGTAGAATTTAGCTTCCCACCTCCAAGGAAAGTTAAAGTGCTCTTACTGCAGATCATACCAACAACCGTATATTGTTGATACTATATATTATTGACACTTAGCAGAAGCTCTTTTGAGTGTAATGGATTTATGTGGCAGATTTGTAAGTCTTTTAGTACATTACCTACTAACACACACAATAAGACAAAACAGCATCTTAAGTTGCTCATATGAAAAAGCAGTTACAGTCTCACACAATTCTCTCTTGACACTCATTCTTTGCCTTGACTTTTCCTCTAACCAGTACAGAACCCCAGGCTTTTACTTGCTGAGTAGAGTTTTCCCATTGTTGCCCACATAAAATGCCAGCAAGATCATACTCTTGTTCACATGGCCAATGGGTATACCAAGTGGCAAGTACCACAAACTAGGAGAAAGTCTAGCTCAGCTTCTTGATAAAACAGCACTCTGTTTCAATAGAAACATGCAATATTAACTTTAAAAATCTACCTCACAGACCTACTATTTTGGTCTGCAGTACTTGAATGTAATTTGGGATTCAATTTTCTATATATTGTGTCATGTCTTATGCAAATTCCTTTTGTGTAATAACAAAATATTGAGTTAAATCTTTACTATCTGATGTATTTTAAAGAAAGGAATCATCACCTGGTTTTGGCAGGTGCTCTGGGCTTGACAATGTATTTCACAGGCAGTATTCAATCAGTTGTATGTAAAGCTTTCTAAGTTGCTAGGAGATACTCAGTCAATTAAACCACTTACTTTCAAAAATATCTCTGACTCTCCAGCTATTATAGAAGCACTTGTCACATAGTAATAATATATTCTTACAATGTCCTGGAAAAGGGGGAAGCTGGGCTTTTTGCTGTGGTTTTGTTGTGTTGTTGGTTTTTTTTTTAAACGAATCTTTCATCTAGTTTCAATCACATTGATATTATAATCTTACTTCCCAAGCAAGATTCACTTCCATTAGCATGAATAGAAATGAAGAATGGAAAAACAAAAGAAATCAGGGGCATTTTCATTAATACTTCAGAACCCTCTAGAGAACTACTGAACTATTCTTCTGGGTCCTGCAGAGGAACTTCATTCAAAACTCTATATTCTCAGCTGTTGAATTACTTTTACAGTTTATGTCATATTGTCATTTATACATCAGAGAGTCACAAGGAAATGAAATTAGCTCTGGTTCTGACTGATCCTAAATGGAAATGGAGAGAATGACGTGTAAAAAAGAAATAATAGTTCTAAGATAAGGAAGCACTCTTTAGCTAGACAAAATAAAGTCAGAGCCTGAAAGGGAAAAACAGGATAAGCAGACAGAAGTGTCCACTTGGGGTACTAGAAAATTAGTCAGTAAATACCCCTCAGGGAAACATTCCTTTTTCACTTGCAGCTATGAGTAACTTATATACTAATAAGCTGCTCAAATGAACCACCAGATCAGCTTCAGTATAGACTGGTAGGTCTTTCTGCTGATGCCTTCAAATCAAGTATTTCCCTTCATGCATCCCAAAGCCACCCACTCAGAGGAAAAATTACACCAGAAACTTTGCACAACATTAAATATAAGAAGCTTCAGAACAAAACTGCAAACATTTCCCATTTCATTGTTCTCCAGTTCTCCCCAGCAACTCCCTTCAATGGAAGAGGGTAACCGTGTTCCAGACAACAAGGCAATTCAACAAGCCAGTTGTGTTCTTAATCTTTTCACAATGTCTAGAGGCTCTCTTCCACTCTGTATGTGTTAGTCACTCACTGATGAACCCAAGAAAGACACTAGTCTTACTCTCTGTAGGTTACAACTGTACTAGGTTGTTGCCCATCATGACAGTGGGCAAAGCTGTCATTTTCTACCATGGGTTAGTTTCTGAAGTGTTTTTGCTACATAACTGCTCTAGAGATACATAACCTTGGTTTTGAACTTCCAAATGGGATTGTACTGGAACAGTCTGTGTATCTGGGAGCCATCCAGGGAAAGCTGGAGTGAACAAGCAGCTGGAAAATGCAGCATCTTGCAATTTCCTGTAAGTCAATACTGTCAGGGACATGAGCGTCATTTACAAACAATCACATGTGACAAAGCATATCCCATACTGGTTGCACAAAGTTCCACCACTAACACAGAAAGATGAAGTATTATTAATTTAAAAAGGAAAAGCACATCTTTGGTCTTCTCAGAGAATAAGCTGTGTCAACATAAAACCCTTACTACACCTGATGCTAGCTGACAACCTTCTCAGTATACAGACTGAGTGAGCAGGACGTAAACATCCAGCTTAGAATATGTTAAATTGCAAGGGACCCAATACAGATCATGGATTCCAACTCCCTTCTCCTTGCAGGACTGCCCACAACTAAGCCATATGACTAAGAGCATCATCCAGACACTCCCTGAACTCTGGCAGGCTTGGTGCTGTGACTACTTCCCTGAGTGACCAATCAACCTCTCAGTAAAGAACCTCTTCCTAATGTCCCATCCAAGCTTCCTCTGATGCAGCTTCCTTCAGTTGTCTTGTGTCCTACTGCCAGTCATCAGAAAGAGATTAACACCTTCTCTCTTCCAAGCTGAACGAAACAAGTGACCTCAGCTGCTCCTCATAAGGAGCTTGTCTGTGCCTTTGACCATTTTTCAGAGTAAAAGAGAGAAACATGAAATAATGAAGGTAACCACTGCATGAGAAGCAGCTTTTTTCACATTAGAAACAAACACATTAAAAGCCTAACAAAGTCAAGCTGAGTTTGTTTTATCCTGTTATTATCATAACTATCAACATTCAATAAAATCTCCATGTACCATATACCAATTCTACTGTATTCAGACTGAAAAGATGATTGTTTCCAGTTATCCCCTACTTTTTTTTGATTGAGAAATATCATAGATAAGCAGCCACACAGTACATTAAGTTGCACAGAAGTACACTGAGAAAGTAAATACAACACTTCACCACAACATGCTGCCCAGAAGTCCTTTCTGACCAGGAAATGTTATCAGACTGCACTAGTCTGATTCAAAGCACCAAAAAATATTTCTGCTCCTCTTCCACACTATATCCTACTTGAATTTCACTGCCAGATGCAAAGTGTTGATCAACAGCTGAAATAGTTCTGAAGTACTAGCTCTTAGCAATACTTCAAATAATGTTCTTAAAAATACCTTTAACAAACAGAAGAAATATCCCCATGGAAACTAGAGACAGTTATCTAAAAGAAATGCATTTACCATGCAGTCATAAAAAAAAAAAAAAAAAAAGAAATGTTGCTCTTTGTCAATTCCT